TACAGTGCCACTGTGGTATACACTATAACACTATGTATACTACGGTGCCAGTGTGGTATGCTCTATAACACTATGTATACTACAGTGCCACTGTGGTATGCACTATAACACTATGTACACTACAGTGCCACTGTGGTATGCACTATAACACTATGTATACTACAGTGCCACTGTGGTAATGCACTAAAACCCACTATGTAATACTACGGTCCCCCTGTGTATCACTATAACACTATGTATACACGGGGGCCACTGTAGTATACACTAAAAACACTATATATACTACAGTGCCACTGTGGTATACACTATAACACTATGTATACTACAGTGCCACTGTGGTATACACTATAACACTATGTATACTACAGTGCCACTGTGGTATGCACTATAACACTAGGTATACTACAGTGCCACTGTGGTATGCACTATAACACTTGTAATACAGTGCCACTGTGGTATGCACTATAACACTATGTATACTACGGTGCCACTGTAGTATACACTATAACACTATGTATACTACGGTGCCACTGTAGTATACACCATAACACTATGTATACTACGGTGCCACTGTAGTGTACACTATAACACTATGTATACTACAGTGCCACTGTGGTAAAACACTATAACACTATGTATACTACGGTGCCACTGTGGTATACACTATAACACTATGTATACTACAGTGCCACTGTGGTATGCACTATAACACTATGTATACTACAGTGCCACTGTGGTTTTACACTAAAACACTATGTATACTACAATCCCACTGTGGTATGCACTATAACACTATGAAATACTACGTGCCACTGTGGTATACATTTATAAACACTATGTATACTACAGTGCCACTGGGGTTTATGCACAAATAACACTATGTATATACAGTGCCACTGTGGTATGCACTATGACACTATGTATACTACAGTGCCACTGTGGTATGCACTATAACACTATGTATACTACAGTGCCACTGTGGTATGCACTATAACACTATGTATACTACAGTGCCACTGGTATGCATTTAAACACTATGTATACTACAGGCCCACTGTGGTATGAAACAATAAACTATGTATACTACAGTGCTACTGTGGTATACACTATAACACTATGTATACTACGGTACCAATGTGGTATACACTATAACACTATGTATACTACAGTGCCACTGTGGTATGCACTATAACACTATGTATACTACAGTGCCACTGTGGTATGCACCGTAACACTATGTATACTACAGTGCCACTGTGGTATGCACTATAACACTATGTATACTACAGTGCCACTGTGGTATACACTATAACACTATGTATACTACAGTGCCACTGTAGTATACACTATAACACTATTGTATACTACAGTGCCACTGTGGTAACATATAACACAATGTATACTACGGTGCCACTGTGGTATACACTATGACACTATGTATACTACAGTGCCACTGTAGTATACACTATAACACTATGTATACTACAGTGCCACTGTGGTATACACTATGACATTTATGTATACTACAGGGGCCACTGTGTATACACTGTCACACAATGTATACTAGAGTGCCACTGTGGTATACACTATAACACTATTATACTAACAGTGCCACTGTAGTATACACTATAACACTATGTATACTACAGTGCCACTGTGGTATACATATGAAACTATGTAAACTACAGTGCCACGTGTGTATACACTGTCACACTATGTATACTACAGTGCCACTGTGGTATACACTGTCACACTATGTATACTACAGTGCCACTGTGGTATACACTATAACACTATGTATACTACGGTGCCACTGTGGTATGCACTATAACACTATGTATACTACGGTGCCACTGTGGTATACACTATAACATTATGTATACTACAGTGCCACTGTGGTATACACTTTAACACTATGTATACTACAGTGCCACTGTGGTATACACTATAACACTAAGTATACTACAGTGCCACTGTGGTATACACTCTCACACTATGTATACTACAGTGCCACTGTGGTATACACTGTATCACTATGTATACTGCAGTGCCACTGTGGTATACACTATAACACTATGTATACTACAGTGCCTCTGTGGTATACACTATAACACTATGTATACTACGGTGCCACTGTGGTATACACTGTAACACTATGTATACTACAGTGCCACTGGGGTATACACTATAAACTATGTAAAATAACAGTGCCACTCTGGTATACACTGTAACACTATGTATACTACAGTGCCACTGTGGTATGCACTATAACACTATGTATACTACAGTACCACTGTGGTATACACTGTAACACTATGTATACTACAGTGCCACTGTGGTATACACTGTAACACTATGTATACTACAGTGCCATTGTAGTATACACTGTAAACACTATTATACTACATTGCTACTGTGGTTATACACTGTAACACAAATGTATACTACAGTACCACTCTGGTAACACTGTAAAAACTATGTATATTTACAGTACCACTGTGGTAATACACTGTAACACTATGTATACTACAGTGGCACTGTGGTATACACTGTAACACTATGTATACTACAGTACCACTGTGGTATACACTGTAACACTATGTATACTACAGTGCTACTGTGGTATACACTGTAACACTATGTATACTACAGTAACCACTGGGGTTTTACACTGTAACACATGTATACTACAGTACCACTGTGGTATACACTGTAACACTATGTATACTACAGTGGCACTGTGGTATACAATGTAACACTATGTATACTACAGTACCACTGTGGTATACACTGTAACACTATGTATACTACGGTACCACTGTGGTATACACTGTAACACTATGTATACTACAGTGCTACTGTGGTATACACTGTAACACTATGTATACTACAGTACCACTGTGGTATGCACTATAACACTATGTATACTACAGTACCACTGTGGTATACACTGTAACACTATGTATACTACAGTACCACTGTGGTATACACTGTAACACTATGTATACACAATAATATCAGGGAGATTTTCTTTCCAATGACAAAGAAAAGTTCTATTATTTTGCACACGGCACACTAGGCCTATAGGTCCCCTCTGGTGTATACTCTGCTAGGCCTATAGTTCCCTTCTGGGAGTGTACTCTGCTAGGCCTATAGTTCCCCTCTGGTGTATACTCTGCTAGGCCTATAGTTCCCTTCTGGGAGTATACTCTGCTAGGCCTATAGTTCCCCTCTGGTGTATACTCTGCTAGGCCTATAGTTCCCTTCTGGGAGTATACTCTGCTAGGCCTATAGTTCCCTTCTGGGAGTATACTCTGCTAGGCCTATTGTTCCCTTGGGTTTGTATACTCTGCTAGCCTATAGTTCCCTTCTGGAAGTATACTCTGCTAGGCCTATAGTTCCCTTCTGGGAGTATACTCTGCTAGGCCTATAGTTTCCCTCTGGGAGTTTACTCTGCTAGGCCTATAGTTCCCCTCTGGGAGTATACTCTGCTAGGCCTATAGTTCCCCTCTGGGAGTATACTCTGCTAGGCCTGTAGTTCCCTTCTGGGAGTATACTCTGCTAGGCCTATAGTTCCCCTCTGGGAGTATTCTCTGCTAGGCCTGTAGTTCCCCTCTGGGAATATACTCTGCTAGGCCTATAGTTCCCCTCTGGGAGAATACTCTGCTAGGCCTATAGTTCCCATCTGGGAGTATACTCTGCTAGGCGTATAGTTCCCCTCTGGGAGTATACTCTGCTAGGCCTATAGTTCCCCTCTGGGAGTATACTCTGCTAGGCCTATAGTTCCCCTCTGGGAGTATACTCTGCTAGACCTATAGTTCCCCTCTGGGAGTATACTCTGCTAGGCCTATATTTCCCCTCTGGGAGTATGCTCTGCTAGGCCTATAGCTCCCCTCTTGGAGTATACTCTGCTAGGCCTATAGTTCCCCTTTGGGAGTATACTCTGCTAGGCCTATATTTTCCCCTCTGGGAGTATACACTGCTGGCCTATAGTCCCCCCTGGGAGTATACTCTGCTAGGCCTATAGTTCCCCTCTGGGAGTATACTCTGCTATGCCTATAGTTCCTCTCTGGGAGTATACTCTGCTAGGCCTATAGTTTCCCTCTGGGAGTATACTCTGCTAGGCTTATAGTTCCCCTCTGGGAGTATACTCTGCTAGGCCTATAGTTCCCTCTGGGAGAAATACTCTGCTAGGCCTATAGTTCCTCTCTGGGTGTATACTTGCTAGGCCTATTTTTCCCCCTCTTGGGAGTATACCCCTGCTGGGCCCTATAGTTCCCCTCTGGGAGTATACTCTGGAGGCCTATAGTTCCCCTCTGGGAGTATACTCTGCTAGGCCTATAGTTCCCCTCTGGGAGTATACTCTGCTAGGCCTATAGTTCCCCTTTTCGAGTATACTCTGCTAGGCCTATAGTTCCCCTCTGGGAGTATACTCTGCTAGGCCCATAGTTCCTCTCTGGGAGTATACTCTGCTAGGCCTATGGTTCCCTTCTGGGTGTATACTCTGCTAGGCCTATAGTTCCCTTCTTGGAGTATACTCTGCTAGGCCTATAATTCCCCTCTGGGAGTATACTCTGCTAGGCCTATAGTTCCCCTCTGGGAGTATACTCTGCTAGGCCTATAGTTCCCCTCTGGGAGTATACTCTGCTAGGCTTATAGTTCCCCTCTGGAAGTATACTCTGCTAGGCCTATAGTTCCCCTCTGGGAGTATACTCTGCTAGGCCTATAGTTCCCCTCTGGGAGTATACTCTGCTAGGCCTGAGTGAGTGTGTTGCAACGCTCCCTTGGACGCATATTTTTCCCCTCAGTTCTACACATTTCACCAACACTTTGGGTTGTTAGACGCCATTTCACTCTTTAAACATCAACAAGAAGGTCAGACAGAAAATGCTAAACTTGTGTAAGGTGAGACAAAAGGGCAGCACGAGAGGCACCAGCTGCTGCCCCCAGGACGCCATCACTACCCTCACACGCCTCTCATGATCAATATTTGTTCTCAGATGCTGAACTGATGGATGATTCTTCAGTGCAGTCAGATGCTAAGCAAGACAAGGGACAAAGCACTTGTGTGGCCAGCGCATCCAGGGCCACTCCAGATGTGGCTAGTCCAAGTGGCCAACCTACAGCAACGAAAAAGTGTAAACGAGGTGACATATCTGTAGCCACCACCACTGTGGCCAGCACCATCACTGTGGCAACCACCATCACTGTCGCCACCGCCATCACTGTGGCCACCACCACCACTGTGGCCACATTGATCAAGCCTTCACCTGTATATACATCTGTCGTCACCACACCCACAGTTACGTATGTGACGACCTCACCATGTATGACTATTTCTCCTGTGACCACTCTAGATGTGGCCAGCACTCGTGGCCACCCTAAATGTGGCCACTCCAGATGTGGCCACCCCACATGTGGCCACTCCAGATGTGTCCATCCCACATGTGGCCACTCCAGATGTGTCCACCCCACATGTGGCCACTCCAGATGTGCCTAGCTCAGCTGTCGCCAACACGTCGACAGCTGCTGACGAGGGTGCTAGTGATATTGTGTCAGCAAGTGTTCATAATGTGTCGAGTGCCACACGCTGAGTGTCGATGTATAAAAAGATAAATCCTGTTGTTGTTGTTGAAAAGAAAATGAAATGTATGGAAGATGATAGATTTACTGAAATTCTATCACTTGTGCATTGTTGTCATTGTTTTTCTAATAAGATCAAAGTTACATAACCTAGAAACAATTGTTAGTATATTGTGTACCGTTTGTAAGAATACATTGTTGAAAAAGCCAAGTGGTATATATAAGAAGCTGAATACTTTGACAGGATGGTTTATGGCGAGATGCTGGGTGGTGGTGGCTATTCATCCTTTACTCGTAAAAATGCATTGTGTAACTTTCCTCGTCTATCTAAGCGAACATTCAACAGATATACGACCATGATTACAAAGATTTCCATTCAGATGTGCAACCAAATTCTTGTTGATACATGGACAATCATTCATAAGGAATATGCCAAACAGGACACTTTACCAGACCCAAATGGTGGTGTTGACATTGATGTGATGTATGATGGCACATGGCACACAAGGGGCCATCGGTGTCGCAATTGATGCCTTGACAAAATTAGTAGTGGATTATCAAGTAATGTGCAAATACTGTTCTGTGTGTGTCATTCTCGAAGGTCGTTTGAAAAAGAAGGAAATTACTATGGAAACATATGAACAGTTGAAAGAAAAACATCAAAGCAAATGTAACAAAATCTTTACAGGCTCATCAGGAAATATGGAAGTAGAATCAGCAATAATCATTTGGCAGAGATCACTGAAAAAGAAGTTGAGGTACAAAACTATAGTGTCTGATGGTGACAGTGCTACCTACAAAGGAATCGTTGAACTCAATGATGGTGCTGGTCCTTATGAAAGTGTACAAGTTAGGAAAGAAGAGTGCATAAACCACTATTCATAGTGCCTAAAGAATAGATTAACAAGTTTGGTCAAGTTGCACTACACAGAAAAACAATTGAAAACCGCAAAAAAAGGAAGCAGTATGAACTAAAGAAGAAAAGGATGCTCACAGACTATCATTGACAAGCTTGCACAATATTTTCAGAAAATCCTAAGGGAAAATGTTAGAAGTGATGTAACGATGAGGAATGGCACCCTTGTAAGTTTCTTCCACTGTTCCTCCACTGATGACAACCCACAACATCATCTTAGCCCACCTGGTACTGCTTCATGGTGTTTTTACCAGAAGGCAATGACAGAAAACCTACCACCACCATCTCTCACAACCAGGAAAGTGCACTTCCAACTAGAACCTGCCCACTTCCGTGAGGTGCATGAAATTTACAAGGACCTCACTAGAAATGAAATGATGGAACGCTGCCTACTGGGACGAACTCAAAACCCAAATGAAAGCCTTCACCAACGAATATGGTTGTACTGTAACAAAGCTCTGTATAGAAACAAGTGGCAAGTCGATTTCGTGGCCAGCCAAGCCATAGCAGAGTACAATGCAGGATACGAGAGTTGTTGTTTAGATTATACCACTTGGGTATGGCCGTTCATCACTTAACCAACGTCAGCTGATGGCTATGGACAAGACCATGCAGACAGTCAAGGCCCCAAGATGCAAGAAGAGGAGAAGGGTGATGGACACTTCCTAAGAGGCTGGAGGCCATTAGATGATGATCCATGTCCATGCCTACATCCAGTCAAAGGCAAGTAATTCATGTGAATTTCATGTATATTTGTATGCGTATGTTTATAAACTTTGTATATATGTATATTTACATGTATCTTTGTACATAATCGTTGGCAATAAGATATTCAGTGTGTATTTCCTTCTTTCCAGTTTGATTTGAATGGACCGCCATGATTGGCCGATCTCCAGGGAACTTCAGGATGGAGGGATCTGCATGGAACTTCAGAAATATGTTGTATATACTCAATTCTACTCTCAAACATAAGGCACAAGGAGTATTTTTACCCACCGTAATCTAAGCCTCAATGTATTTCTCCATTTTTCTGGAAAGTCCATTTTCTGATTTTTTTTTTCTTGGGGGGGGGGCTCCTCCTCTATTATTGAACCAATCTTCTTCATTTTTACAGTATTTATTCATGGAACATTGTTCTATAACTTGTAGTGTACCTTTTGGTAAAAATCCTCCCCATTTTAGTATACCATGGGTGTGAAATGAAAAAATTGGTCCTAACACATGTCAAGGCATTTTTTTTTTTTGGGTACTATGAAAGATTATAATACATGATTGGAAAACTACAGAAGGTCTGTTTGGCATTAATATCAATTAATGTTATCAGAAAGAACTTCGGTATTGCCATATTGTTGTAGCGCTTTATTGATTGTAGCCATGTCCAATTTTTCACATATTTTTTATATCATTATTTATTGGACGACCTTGATGAAAAAAATACACAATATACTTCGACATGCCTAGAGTCTGTGGTAAAAATTTCAGTGAAATCGTAAAAAGGGAAGTGAACATGAATATTTTTTAGTTTACAGGCCTCATAAAGATTCCATTTTCTTCTCTTTTGAGTAATTTAAGCTGTGTAACTAAGTCAGATGGTCTAGTTCTTATCTTTATCTGTATATATATATATATGGTTTAGCGCTTCTTTTTGATTATAATAATAATAATTTATCTGTATATATACTCCACTGTGCTGCTGTAAATCCACTTCCAAAAATGCATTTGTTTCTATGTAATCTAAAGTTGAATTACATCTCAGAGGTGTACATTTGGGTCATCTTGCAGGGCATCTGGGTTATCTTGCGGTGTATCTTGGTTATCATCTATGATGTCTGTACTCCTCAAGGGAGGTTCCTTGATGCTGGTGAGGGACTCCTGATCTAGGGAGTTGGATCTGTGTTCCAGTTTCCTGAACTGAGCCTGAATACCTTCCATCCCCCCTCCTCTTCAAGGGGGGCTCCTTGGCGAGGTCAAGAGGCTCTTGGTCTGAGGAATTAGACCTGTTGGTCTTCCTCAGACCGAACCTAATTACCCCCCATCCCCCCTCCCTTATCCCATCCTCCCTTTTTCTTTTCCTCCTCCTCCTCCCCACCCCTCCCTATTACCCTTCCTCTTTTTGGCTTTTTTTTTTCCACAGGCACGCTAGTTCCTGGGTAGGGGAAAGAGTACTGGGGTCCATCCCATTCCGTTGAGGTTCTTGGTGGTGGTGTAGTTTGCCGTGGAATCTTGATTGCCTGGGGATGTCCCAATCCCTCTCCGGTCTCCCAGGGAGTGGCTTTGGGTATCTTTCCGGCGACGGGTGTATCTCTGGAGGCTGCCTTTTGGATTCCTGGGGTGGTGGCCAAAGGAGGTATGCTTTGTGGCGGATATCCGGCCGCCCTCTCTTGTCCACCGAGGTAGCTCGGCAGATGTGAAGTTGCTATCCTGGATTGCTGGTTTACTGGCATGATGGGTAGGGTATGGCACAGGTTCCATGCTGCATCTGCACTACTTGAGGTGCTGATGTCTCTTGGGCACGGAGGGAGATTTCTGGCCCTCTCATTCCTCCCAGGAACTATCCCTCCTCGGTCTCCCCTTTTTTTATTCTATTTTTTCTTTTTCTTTTCTTTTTTTTTCTTAAAAACAAAAAGAAAGAAGTAACCTAACCATGGAAGCCCTAGTCCATGAACCTGCTACCCCCGGGCACCTTCTTGATACCGCACCCCGTTCTGACCTCGTCTTTGGACCACTCTTCAGACACTCCTAATGCCTCTGTACCTCTTGCCGGTGCTGTTTCCTCACCCACTTCAGGTACTGAGGTCTCAACTGACTCCTTTGATTTATCTGACCTCCACTCTCCTTTGACTATGCTTCCGGCATCTCCCTCTACGGTGTGGCCCCTCAAGGAAGGTTCCTTGATGTTGGTGAGGGGCTCTTGATTTAGGGAATTGGATCTCTGCTCCAGTTCTCCGAATTAAGCCTGAATGCCTTCCACATCCCCCCACCCAGGCGCTGTATAATCCTCCGGGTTTAGCGCTTCCCCTTGATTATAATAATAATAATCTACGGTGTGGCAATTTTCGAATCGCCAGCCCGTTCCACGTCTGACCAACTCTGGTCCCACTCCTAAACACCAACGACAATTACCTGCTGATGATGCTTCTCCACCTTCTCGTTCTTCTCAGAAAAGATCGACACGTCCTGCACTCCTTTTCCACGCTCAGTTTCAGAATGCACAATGGACTAAATTCTCCACTTTATGACCGACTTCCTCTATTGCCTATCTTTCCGACCATAGTATTGGCAAGGCACTCCTATGCCATATTGGTAAAGATTTCTTTTCATGCTCTTAAGAGCGGTACACGCATCATCACTGTACAGAATGCTACCCAAGCTCATGATCTTTCTCTTTTCCATATCGATACTGTTCCTGTCACTATTTAAAAACATCATTCCCTCAATTCTTGTAGTGGTACTGTCATTCTGCCCCATACCACAGTTCAACAAAATTTCCAGACATTTGGCAATGACATTCTTGAACAGCTGGAACTCCAAGATCTCCCAACCCTCAAGGTAGACACTTATGTTCTTCCTGCCCGCGGGCGGAGACAATACCCTAGCAATGTGGCTCGTTTAACTTTTGACAGCCGTGAATTCCCATCCTCAGTTTATGTAGCAGGACATCGGTTACAAGTTCGAAAGGTGATCCGTACACCGCAATAGTGTAGAAATTGCTGGCGATTTGGCCATCCTGCGAAATATTGCAGATCTATAGCCGAATGCCCAGTCTGTGATGCCGATGACCATTCTAATACATCTTGCAATCGACCTCCCTCTTGCCTTAATTGTCATGAGGCTCACCCTTCGCACTCTCGCCATTGCCAAGTCTACTTAAATGAGTGGGAAATCCATTACCTCAAAGAGGCAGAAGGTCTCCCTTATGCCATGACAGTTTCTCATCTCTGCCTCCAAGGGAGACTACCTCGTGTTTCTTATTCCCGTGTTTCAAAACGTCCCCCCACTTCTGGGGCCCCATCTTCTGCAGCCTCCTCTGTGGTTACCTCTCCCATAGTCAGTCCTGTATCTAATTCTTTTGCTGTCCTGGGCTCAGGCATCCCT